TTTTTAACAGAGAGAAAGGGAGAGAGATAGAGAGCTAGAAACGTCGATGAGAGAGAAACATCGACCAGCTGCTTCTTACACACCCCCCACCGGGGATGTGCCCGCAACCAAGATACATGCCCTTGACCGGAATCGAACCTGGGACCCTTCAGTCCGCAGACCGACGCTCTACCACTGAGCCAAACCGGCTTCAGCTTCTTTGCCCATTTTTAATTGGGCTGTTTAGGTTTCTGTTGCTGAGTTAGAGGAGTTAGGGAATCATTGGAGAATGTTAAGCAGGGAAGTGATGTGACCTAATTTGGGTTTGTTCTGTTTTATTATTTGGTCACTTGGACTGTTGAGTGGAGAATGTTTTGAAGGAGAAGCGATTTTAGATGGAGAGACTAGAGGCAGGCTGTAAATGGAAAAATAACAGGACTTAGAAGGCGATGCAGATTGACAGAAAGGCTTGTTTGGATTCTTTGGAAAACACAGCAGCATGAACAAGACACTGGCACCATCAGAGACCCACCAGTTGCTCATCCCACCTGTTCCTCCTCCAGGATGTGGAGCTGAGTACATTCCCAGGCTCCCTTGAGACTCGAGTTGTGGTCATTGACCAAGTTCTAGTTAAAAGTAGTGGCCCTTCAAAAGTCCAGGCCTATCTAAAGTCTGAACATTGGATCCCAGTTGTTCTTTCCTGTCCACTTTCTGCATGAGGAGATTGTCAATGACCCAGAAGAGGATAGAGGCACAAAATGGAGGGAGTCTGTGTCCCTACATGATCACATGGACAGCCATCTGACTGGCAACATAATAGGGAAGGTCATATAGCTGGTTTAGCACAGTTGGTGAAGCATCAGCCTGCAGTCTGAAGAGGCTGGGTTCTATTCCAGTCAAGGGCATATGCCCAGGTTGCAGGCTCAATCCCCAGTAGGAGGCATGCAGGAGGCAGCCGATCAATGATTCTCTCTCATCATTGATGTTTCTATCCCTCTTTCCCTCTTCCTTCCTCTCTCTGAAATCAATAAAAGTATATTTAAAAAATAGAACCAGAGTTGTTTAATAATCACTCTCCTTATTATCAATAGAAAGTTTTCTTAAAGACCCTGGGAAACTAGAGGATGAAACAATGTGGCTCAATGGGCCCGTTACTCAGAAAAGAAATACATTTTGAGAACAGATCAGGGCAGGACATGCTTTGATTTGGTCACTGTGCCTGGACCCTGCCCCCTCTGGACCTTTGCCTCAGAAATGCTAACCATTCTCCGGTCCCAGGAATGGGCTGAGCTGTTTGTAACATCACAGATTAGCCACCTTATTATCGGACTTTGAGCTCCTGAAGCCTGGACTGCAGGCACTACCCTCTCCGTTCCATGTTACACTTGCAGCTTGAAACTGCATGTAGTTATCATCTCCCTCATTTGTATATAATTAGCCCACTGATGAGGGGGATCAGAGCAGAATTTCCAGGGTGACCGACTGCTCTCCCCATACTGTCAACAATATTGATTTATTTTGTCATTTTTCTTGCCAGTAATATTGAAATAAACACTCACAAATGATTCAACCCTGTCTCCTGGCTCAAGTAGTGACAGGCAATCTTGGAACCACTGTGTCTGGTTTCAACACTGCTCTGAACTATGGCAAGAATGAGAAATATATTTTTACTCTGTTGAGCCACTACGACTATGGGTCCATCTGTCCGAGGAGCTAGTTAACTTGAGATATTGGTGAAATAATTTTTTTGTATACTCTACATCACTACAGCTGTAAGACTAAGGAAGCAACTCTTTGTTATTCATATAGAATGATCTCCAAGATAGCTTTAAATGAAAAAAGCAAAAAACAGGGAAATGTGTATAACCTGTTAGTTTTTTGTGTAAAAAAAAAAATAGGTTGGAAAAATAATGTAAACATAATTCCTTGTTCATGTATAACAGTGGAGGGATAAAAGAAACCAGTATAGCTCTAACTGGTTTGGCTCAGTGGATAGAGCGTCAGCCTGTGGGCTGAAAGGTCCCAGGTTCGATTCCAGTCAAGGGCATGTACCTTGGTTGCGGGCACATCCCCTCTAGGATGTGAGCAGGAGGCAGCTGATTGATGTTTCTCTCCTATCAATGTTTCTAGTTATCCCTCTCCCTTTCTCTCTACAGAAAATCAAGAAAACATATTAAAAAAAGAAAGAAAAAAAGAAAGAAACCAGTATACTGGTTACATCCATCCAGGGGCCTGGCCAGGGGAGGGGTAGGAGACCTATCAATATGTACCTGCTGAATCTTTTAAAAAAATATATATATTTTATTGATTTTTTACAGAGAGGAAGAGAGAGGGATAAAGAGTTAGAAACATCAATGAGAGAAACACCGATCAGCTGCCTCTTGCACACCCCTTCCTGCCAGGGCAATCCCGTGGCACAGCCAACCATCCCTTCTCTGCGCGCAATGTGCGCGCCTCTGGGACCTCCTTTCGCCGCTCCCCCAGGGTTCCGCCTTATAGCCCAGCTCCCTCTATTTGAGCCTGGGTCCCCGGGGTCTGGCCTAGAACTGGGGTTCAGAGCAGTCAGAAATGGGGCCCAGCGCAGTCAGAGCTTTTATCTCCTTCCCGCTAGGGAATGCCAGCCAGGCACTCAGCTGCCCTGCCCTTCCTCTCGGGCTCAGTCCTCTTTGCGCCGCGTGTCTCCGTACCTTAGGCTTTTACAGCTCCTCCGCGCTTCCTTCTGGTTTTTTCCTTGCTTCTCGTTGTAGAATTTCCAGTCAGTTGACTTTCCTGTAGTTCTGGGTAATGTCCATTTTATATTTTAGTTGTATTTTATTGAAATTGTTGTGTGCGGCTGCAGCTAGGTGTTTACCTGTTCAGCCATCTTGGATTCTCCCTGTTCTTTTACCTGCTGAATTTTGAATGTGAATGTGTTTCCTAACTTAAAATTTTTGTTTTAATTAGGAAATGAAAAGGAGTATGCCAGGGATGTGGGCATGTTCAGATATTGGTGGAAGGAGCCAGTACAAACAAAAATCCCTAAAGTACAGGGAGATCGAGGATAGAAGAATGCCCTGAAGAGCCGTGAAGAGCAGGGGTAGAGATAAGCACGGGGCAGGGGCCTGCCAAGCGCAGGAAGAAGGTACATTAGGACAGGAAGGGAGGAGGCAGGAGGCGTGCAACCCCAGATAAGTATATAAATGCCAACAGGAAGGGAGGGTGAAAGGGTTCTTTTCAAACAGCTTTTATTTAGAAGGTGAATTTACCGAATGAGAATGAGAGGAGTGGTAGATTTAACTTATAGGGGAGAAAAAGGGATCACGTGGACAGGGAAATGAAGACTTCCAGGGAGCAGTGAGGGCTGGGCCAGGAGGAGGCATGCATTTAGAATCAGACCCCTTATAGCACCAGTCCCTCCCTCTCCCCTGCTCCCCATCTTTCTCTTTGCTCAGTGGGGCTGATCCAGTAGAGCTTCTTCATGCTCATTAGTGATTCCAGGACCTCTTGCTGGGAGGCTGTCATCAGATATGATCTGTCTCTCCTTCCTGGGACAGCAGGGTTTCCCTGGCCTTCTCAGAACCTGGCAGGATGAAAGGGGGATCTCACTCCTGGAAATCAACCCTGTGGCTCATGTGAAGCCAAGAGAACTCACCCTGACTGGCAGAATCAAATAAATTCAGCCCTTGAAGTAAGTCACTCAAAGACAAAATGCCAGATGATTTCAGTCATGTGGAATCTAGAAAATGAAATTAACAAGCAGAACAGAAACAGATTCATAGATACATTTTGACAGTTGCCAGAGGGGAGAGGTTTCAGAGGATGGGTGAAAAAGGTGAAAGGATTAATAAGTTTAAATTTAAAAAATAATAAATAAATAGGATAAATTGGCAGCTACAGAATAGTCAGAGATTGAAAGTATAGCACAGGGTTCTGGTGGATGTGGCTCAGTTGGTTGGAGTGTCATCCCGTACACTGAAAGGTGGGTTCGATACCTGGTCTGGGCGTGTCTGTGGGAAGCAATCAATTGATGTTTCTCTCTCTCCTTTCCTTTCTCTAAATATTTTTTTTTTTTAAATCTTTGAAGTACAGCATAGGGAATATAGCCAATAATCCTATATAATAAAAAGGTAATAGGCAAATCAAATGGCAGAATGACTGGGAGGTATGATGCACACTGACCACCAGGGGGCAGATGCTCAACACAGGAGCTGACCCTGGTGGTCCATGTGAGGGGGAGTGATGCTCAGCCAGAAGCTGGGCTGACAGCTGGCGAGTGCAACTGCAGTGGCAGGATGTTTGACTTCTGGCTTAGGCCCTCTCTCCACAATCCACTCCCTAAGCCATCAATCGGACATCCCCTAAGGGCTCCTGAACTGCACTGCAATAAAGGGCACAGGCTGGGCTGAGGGACCGCATCCCCTTCCCCCAGTGCACAAATGTCGTGCACAGGGCCTCTAGTGTTGTAATAAATATGTATGATTTCAGATGGATAATAGATTAGGGTGATTGTGAATTAGTTATAGAAATGTCTAATCACTGGGTTGCACACCTGAAAGTAACATAATGTTGTAATCAACTATAATAGAAAAATAAGAAATTTTAGAAAAAGAAAAGCATCGACCTATTGCTTTACCCATCTATGCATTCACTGACTGATTCTTGCATGTGCCCAACCCCAGTCCAAACCTGCAACCCTGGTACATCAGGATGATATTCCAACCAACTAACTGAGCTAACAGGTCAGGGCTAAAAAATTATTTTTTATGAAGCAGTTTTGAGTTTACTGGTGTGTGCGTGTTTAAATTGAATTTTAATTTATTTTTTATTATTTTTTAAATTAAATTATTATCTGTGTACATATCTTACCATTGCCCCCCCTCATACATACCCTCCCTCCCAGAATTTTGTGCCCATTAGTTGTACTTATATGCACAGAGAGTATTGCGCCTTCTCCAAGCTGCGCGGCGAGAACCACCAATAGTGTGGTGGAACTTGTGGCCCTTCCCAAGGCCAAGGCTCTTGTGGCCTGCAGATGTCAGCCCTCACATCTCCCTGTGCTTGTGGACTGGTTTGGTGATCCATTGGGTGTCAGGATTTCTTCTGATAGCTTTATGGAATGGATCAATGAGGCTAACCTCTAAGAATTCGTACGTGGAATCTTCGCCAACCCAGTAAAAATTCAGGACTCTCAGAGCCCCACAGTGGTGTCCATCTCTCTCTTCAGCAACAGACTGAAGACTTCGAGCAAACTTCAGCTGGTTAACACCGTGATGGACGGGCTTGCCATAGGTCGCACCCTTAGGAACAGGGCGTTTGTGGCCACCACAGCGTACACGAATCCGATATATGATATAACCTTGCTTGGCCTTATAGCCCAGCCTGCACGCTTTGTCGGGCCGGGTGGGGCGGGGGGCCCTGTGCAGCGCGGAGAGCTGGTGGTACTGCCAGCAGCGCACCCTGAGAAGGAAGCGAATCACATCCAACTGCTTCTTCCTCCATAGCTCCTGGATGAACTTGTAAGCGCCCATCTTGGCTTACCTTGATGGCTGCGGCCAGACAGAAAGGAAGAGCCCTTCTGTCTTCTTTTGAAAATATTCTATTTAGGTCCATTGCCCATTTTTAATTGGATTATTCATCTTCCTTTTATTTAGTTGTATAAGCTGTCTGTAGATGTTGGCGATAAATTGAATTTTTAGAAAGGGACAAATGCAGGGATAGAAACATCAATGTGAGAGACACAAATCGATTGGCTGCTTCCTGTATATGCCCTGACCCGGAATCAAACTGGCAACCTTCCAGCGCACACAACGCTCCAAACAGTTAAGCTATACTGGCCAGTGGTTAAATTTTTTTTTTTTAAATATTACAGACATTTGTAAAAAAACAACTGTCTTGAGCTTAGATGACTGGCAGATGTTTAGGATTTACTGTTATGTGGAGGAATGGGCGAGAGGGCAATTGAATTCAAAATGGTCCATACATAATACAATCAGAGCTCAGTTCCTGAACATCTTAAACAATACTAACATCTCTCATCATAAACAATACGGTTCTTGACCAAGTTGTTTACAAAAAAAAGTCTAAATTATAGACCAAAACTTCAGTTTTTGACCTGACAACACTTTCCTGCTGATACCTCAGCATGACAAAAGCATCTGTCAGGCAACAAAGAAAGGAGAAAATGCTTATGTTTAGCACAATTTTAAAACAGAGATGATCAAGAGTGCTAATGTTGCTAAAGGGTGTGAAAGTGATCATAAAACAACAATCACAGGTAATGGAATAGGCAGAAAAACTGTTGTTGATTGGAAAAAGGAAAAGCAGTTAGCTGGTGGCAGCATTTCTAAGGCAGTGATATATGAAAAATTCATTTAAGGATAGTAGGGGTTGGTCCCATAAGTTTAAGAAAAGTATTTATTTATAGATTAAACAGTGCACTATGTGTGTACTATATATAACAAAGGTTTGGCTCAGTGGATAGGGCATAGGCCTGTAGACTGAAGGGTCTGGTTTTATTCCAGTCAAGGGCACGTAACTCAGTTGCAGGCTACATCCCTGGCCCTTGTTGGGAGCTTGTTTGGGAGGCAGCCAATCAATGTGACTCTCACATTGATGTTTCTCTCTCTCTCCTCCTCTTCCATTCCCTCTAAAAATCAATGGGGGGAAAAAATGTCCTCAGGTGAGGAATAACAAAACATCCAGGGAATCATTTGGGAATCTGGAACGATTAATTCAATTTACATTATTCCTAGTGGGGGGAAATGATTTGGTTTTAGAATAAATCACTTCTCAAACAGCCTTCCGGAAAGAATTAAGTTCAAGAAACGAGGTTCCACTATATACTCAACCATATAAAATAATGCATAGAAAACATGCCTAAATATTTATAGGGCTTACCTCTGGTTGTTGAAATTGTAGGGTTTTCCCCTTTATTCCCTTATATTCTCCATATGTATGTATATACATATAACTGCTATAATTAAACTGGTTAAGTAGTTTCTGCAGCAATGAGCAGTCAACTATATACTCAACCATATAAAATAATGCATAGAAAACATGCCTAAATATTTATAGGGCTTACCTCTGGTTGTTGAAATTGTAGTGTTCTCCCCTTTATTCCCTTATATTCTCCATATGTATGTATATACATATAACTGCTATAATTAAACTGGTTAAGTAGTTTCTGCAGCAATGAGCAGTCAAGTCCCAATTGCAGTTATGGGCTTTCTCCCTGGAAAAATGCTCATAAGCTCTTACACACATTAACATCCATTCTGCATCTCTTCAGGGTGGCCCCAATGCAAGGGCATGTCCATCTTTGCCTGTAGGAGGCAGATGACTCCTGGGCCAGCCATGTCTATAAGCTGACCAATAATATTGAAATTTTAGCATAAATGCACAAATCCAAAATGGAAGCAACAATTAAAAAGCCCATGCTCTAGCAGGTTTGGCTCAATGGATAGAGTGTCGGCCTGCAGACTGAAGGGTCCTGGGTTCAATTCCGGGCAGGGGCATGTAACTCGGTTGTGGGATGAGCAGAAGGCAGCTGATCAATGTTTTTCTCTCATCAATGTTTTTAACTTCTCTCTCATCAATGTTTCTAACTCTCTATCCTTCTCCCTTCCTCTCTGTAAAAAATTCAATAAAATAATTTTTTTTAAAAAAGAGCCCATTGGCTATACCACACCAGCTTGATCTGTGAAAGCAGGGTACTCTGGCCTGAGCCCCACAATTGTAGCTGCAGGTCTGTAGTCCTTGGGGATAGAAATGCTCTAGGCATCTGAACATTCATTCTATCCAGCTGACTCTCTGGTTCACATCCTTGGCTCATGAGTGCCTTTAGGAAAATATGTGGCTACTTTTAAGGCAGAGGTTTATATACTTGAATAATACTAGGGACCAGAGAGGCAAAGCATAGGAGAAATAAACTGTCAGGGTATAATCAAACTTTATTTTATGTTATAAGGTACAAACAAATGATGCCAGAGATTGTGCTTTAAGTTGACATTAGAAAAATGTAACTTGGAAATAGAAGTAATTATTCAATTTTTTAAATTTGTTACTCCTTAGGTATGAAACCTAAATTTCACTGATGCCCATCAGTCAATGTCAGGTTGGGGACTTCTTGTAACAATATGCAGGAGCAAATTCATTTCTGAATCTTTTAACTGGGAACAATAGTTTGATTTTGTGTCATATCAGAAAATAGTTGCTCACAAATATATATACTTCCAAACATGGACAGAATCTTTGCACAATGGTTTTTATATTTAGGGTAACTATTCCCAAGATATTTGAAGAATCCTGGGATTCCAACATCATCATATTTAGTCTTCAATATAGTGTTGTGCTGCAATTCAATAACCTCCATTTGTAGCTCTTCATTCACATTATTAATATTAATTGAGAAAGGTGAGCTGAACAGTATAAGTTCGTTTTCATAAAGTGTGAAATCAGAGAACCTTTTCTGAAATTCAGTCTTCAACTCTTTAATTTGGGGAATGTAGTTCAGTCCATCACTTTCATTTTCAGAAACCAGTCTCAGCGTCGGGAAGTGGGCCAGATTGTTTCTTGCCAAATGAGTTTCCCAAAGACACAATTTTGCTAGGAAAGAGCGAACTGCATGGTACATTTGTGTAACCATCTGCGAATGCCCTTGCAGAGCAACATCCAACATGTTTACATAAGTCATAATGTCAACCAAAAAGGCTAGGTCTTTGACCCAATCTTTGTTACGAAGCTGAGGCACAGATTTTCCTTTAGAAGACATGAAAAAGTCAATTTCTTCCAAGAGTTCAAAAAACTGCCTTAGCACCATACCACGGCTCAGCCACTTCAGTTCCAGGTAGGACAGGTTTCCATACTGTGTGTCTAACTCACTGAACAAAGCACTGAACTTTCTGTGGGTCGAGCCATGGGAATGCAGCCAGCTTATAGTGTAAATTACTATGTCCATGACATGATCCATTTGTAACTTTTTAGCACAAAGGGATTCTTGGAGAAAGAGGCCATGCACAGATTTAAGTTCTATGTCTTTGCAAAGCCCTGACACTTTAGACTTAAGTTTTGTAACAAGTTGCTTCACACCAACCGTTGCAGAATTACCATCCGTGCTAATACTTACTAATTTTGACCAGTCTACGTCAAATTTTCTAAGACTTTTCTCAACACATAAAAATAAGTCATTTCCTGATGTTGTGCCCGTCAGGGGTACCATGTCCAAAAGTTCCTCAGTCACATCAAAAGTTTCATCAACACCACGAATAAATACAGCTAATTGGGGGGTGTTATTAATATAAGTGCTTTCATGAGCTGCAATAGAGAAAGCCACAAATGATTTAGCTTTTTCTTGCAAGGTGCCCTGTAAGCTCTCAGTCACATTGGGAACATGTTGCTCAGCAATATTACCAGTGAGATTTATGTTGGCAAACACTTGTCTCTGTTCAGGGCACAAAATTTCTGCAGCACTCAGTAGACATTCCTTTATAAACGCACCATCTGTAAGGGGTTTTGATGCTCGAGCAATTTTCTCACGTAACACGTAACTACATTTCATAGCAGCATCAGTTATTTTATTCACATTCAAAAGCAAATCATGTTCAAGTTTCAACCTTTTTTTCAGTTCATTGAGTTTTTTATCACGCATCTTTTCTGTATATCCCACAAGGTTCCTACTGTGGTTTGTTTCATAATGGCATCTTAGGTTATATTCTTTTGACACAGACAGACTCTCTTTGCATATTAAACACATAGGAACATTCTTTACCTCCACAAAGAAATAAGCTCTCTCCCATTTTTCTTGAAATGTGTGGCTTTCTTGTTCTATCTTTTGTTTTCCTATTTTTTGAAAGAGACAAATGCATAAGAAATGTTAAAATGTCATCTTTACTAATAGGGAAAAAAGTACTACTTTGGAAGAAAAAGTATTTACTATTTTTTCAAAATGTAAGTGTGCAGTTCACTTGTTCAGAGTTAGGGAGAACTTAGAGAACGGTGGGGGCTGCAGACAGGTAGGACTTCGGACAGGTAGGGCTGAAGCCAGAGGATGGCCAGATTTCCTGATGTAGCAAAAGAAGCTGGGAATCCCAATTTTATGTGAAATGTCTTAATTTTAAAAAAACATTCATAACAAATTGTATTGCTTTTTCCTATAAATGCTGTATAAGCCACCACACTTACACCCATCAGATTAGGGACACTGGTTTGGGGTCTCTGATTTAAATCTGACAACTCTTCCTAAAAAGAATTAAGTGTCTGAAGAGAACTAAATATCAAATTCTAAAACCACAAGTTTGAGAGGTTGTTCAAACAGAAGCCTAAGGGTACCTAAAAAGGGGAACCAAACTGATGTATCTCAAAGTGCCATTTCTTTTTAATATGTTTTTAGGAATGGAGAGAGCGAGAGAAACATAGGTCAGCTGCCTCCTACATGCTGCAACTGGAGATTGAGCCAGAAACCCAGGCATGTACCTTGACTGGGAATTGAACTGGGAACCTCTTGTGCATCAGATGGTGCTCAACCAAAAGCCACACCGGCCAGGCCACAAAGTGCCATTTCTTTTACAGACATCAAGGTTGCCGTTAACTGGGACAATGCTCATTAGCTTGATATAATCATTAGGATGACTTACATATTTTTGATACAGGGAGAAATTGTATTTAAAATTGCCACGTGCCCCTAACCTAACGCCAGCCCCTCCCTGGGCACCCTGGTGAAATCCCTTGTAAATCTCCATCTACAAAGCTGTAGCATGCTCACCTCTCCAACGTTTGTTCTTCCTGGCCCTATCCTCTTGGCCTTGATTTTTCTCTCCAACATGCTCCAGAACTATGGCAAGCCCTCCAATTTCTGTTCCTTGCTTCTCTTCCAAGGTTCTCTCTGCATCAGCTTGTGACCTGAAGTCAATATAGGCAATCCTGCAGTTGTGGGGATGGGTTGGGGAGAGAGAACTGTCAACATTTGGTATTTGTGTTTGTCTTTTTAACTAGTAATACACACACAAGATTCAGCTGCCTCTTGCACACCCCCTATTGGGGATATTCCTGCAACCAAGGTACATGCCCTTGACCAGAATCGAACCCGGGACCTTTCAGTCCCCAAGCCGATGCTCTATCCATTGAGCCAAACCGGTCTCGGCGGTTTCTAGCATATTTAAAAAACTATATAATCGGAGCCAAACCGGTTCTGGGAGAATCCAAGATGGCTGAACAGGTAAACACCTAGCTGCAGCCGCACACAACAATTTCAATAAAATACAACTAAAATATAAAATGGACATTACCCAGAACTACAGGAAAGTCGACTGACTGGAAATTCTATAACGAGAAGCAAGGAGAAAACCAGAAGGAAGCGCGGAGGAGCTGTAAAAGCCTAACGTATGGAGACACGCAGTGCGAGCAGAGAGGACGAAGCCGGAGAGGAAGGGCGGGGCGGCTGAGTGCCTGGCTGTCTCGTTCCCTAGCAGGAAAGAGATAAAAGCTCTGACTGTGCTGGGCCCCAGTTCCAAATGCTCTGAACCCCAGTTCTAGGCCAGACCCCGGGGACCCAGGCTCAAACAGAGGGAGCTGGGCTGTAAGGCGGAACCCCGGGGGAGGCGGAGAAAGGAGGTCCCGGAGGCTCGCACATTGCGCGCAGAGAAGGGATGGTTGGCTGTGCCACGGGATTGCCCTGGCAGGAAGGAGACAGGGGCTCCAGACTGCTCTGAACACCACCTCCAACTCCACTTCCAACTGAACTGAACCCCAATACTGGGCTCATTGGGGGAGAGCCTAGACTGTTTGGTAGCAGGCGAAAATCGAGGGCACCTTTCTCTCAGAGATGCTTGCAGCGAGTACTGAAGGACCCTGAGACCCAGGAGCCGCATAGGGCAGGGCTGACGGAAGCCAAAGCTGTAGGCTCCATCCTGAAACCCCGCCCCATCAGGGAAGCTGCGAAAATGCCAAGACGAAATAGATCACAAACGAAAGAAATGGAGGACAAAAAGCAACTAGTTATAGAGTTCAAATCTACGCTTATAAGGTTTTTCAAGAATTTCCTAGAAAAGATAGATAAGACCTATGAGGATATGAAAAGGGATCAACTATAATTAATAAGGAATCAACAAGAAATGATAAGGGATCAACAAGAAATAAAGAATACATTGTCTGAAATAAAAAATATTATACAGAGTCCTAAAAACAGAATGGAAGATCACAAGAATCAAGTCAAAGATTTGGAACATAGAGAGCCAGAAGACACTCCTCCGCAGAAGCTAGAAGGCAAGAGAATCCAGAAAATTGAAGATAATGTAAAAAATCTCTGAGACAACTTCAAGCGAACCAACATCAGAATTATGGGGGTCCCAGAAGATGAGGGAGAGCAAGATATCGAAAACATACTGAAAGAAATAGTGACAGGCCGGGACCGGTTTGGCTCAATGGATAGAGCGTCGGCTTGGGGACTGAAGGGTCCCGGGTTCGATTCCGGTCAAGGGCATGTACCTTAGTTGCGGGCATATCCCCAGTAGGGGGTGTGCAAGAGGCAGCTGATCAATGACCTTCTCTCATCGATGTTTCTAACTCTCTATCTCTTTCCCTTCCTCTCTGTACAAAATCAATAAAATATATATTTAAAAAAAAAAAAAAAAAAAAAAAAAAAAAGAAATAGTGACAGAAAACTTCCCCCACCTGGTGAAAGAATTAGACTTACAAGTCCAGGAAGCGCACAGAACTCCAAACAAAAGGAATCCAAAGAGGACCACACCAAGACAAATCATAATTAAAATTCCAAGAGCAAAAGACAAAGAGAGAATATTAAAAGCAGCAAGAGCAAAGCAGGTAGTTACCTATAAAGGAGCACCTATATGATTGTCAGCTGATTTCTCAACAGAAACCATGCAGGCCAGACGGGAATGGCAAGAAATATTCAAGGTGATGAATAGTAAGAACCTACAGCCAAAGATAATCTATCCAGCAAAGCTATCACTCAGAATCGAAGGTCAGATAAAGAGCTTCACTAATAAAAAAAAAAAAGCTAAAGGAGTTCATCACCACCAAACCAGAATTATATGATTGCTGAAGGGGGTTCTTTCAGAAGAGAAAGTAAATAAAGATAAAAATTATGAACAACAAATATGTAACTATCAACAAGTGAATCTAAAAACCAAGGAAATTTTTTTAAAAAATCTGATGAACAATATTAACTGTTGAATATAATAGAATCAGAGGTATGGAAGGGGAGTGAACTAACGATTCTTGGGGAAAATGGGAGAGGGGGATGTGGGAAGAGACTGAACATAAACTGTGCACCTACGGATGAGGACAATGGGGGGTGGGGAAAGGGCAGAGGGTGGGGTGGGAACCTGGTGGAGGAGAGCAATGGAGGGGGGAGGGGAAAGGAACATTTGTAATAATATGAACAATAAAAATTTATTTTAAATAAATAAATAACTATATAATCACCATAATTTAATTTTAGAACATTTCATCATCCCCAAAGTATCCCTTAGCAGTCATTCTTCCTTCCCCCCACTCACTCCCATCCCTCAGCCACAGGCAACTACTACAATATTTTCCATAGATTTGCCTATTTTGGATATTTCATATAAATAGGATTATACAAACATGCAATCTTTTGTGTATGGCTTCTTTACTTAACCTAATGTTTTTGAGTTTCATCCATGTTGTCATAGCATGTGTCAGTACTTCATCTCTTTTTATTACTGAATAATATTCCACTGTATGAAAGTACCACATTTTATTTATCTGTTCATCAGCTGTTGTACATTCTGGGTTGTTTACACTTTTTAGTTTGTATGGATAAATCTGATATGAACATTCATAGAAATGTGTAGTTACATGTTTTTATTTCTTTTGGGTAGATACCTAATAGTAGGATTGCCAAACCATATGACAACTGTATGTTTAACATTTTGAGAAACTGCAAAATTGTTTTCCAAAACAATTGCTCTATTTTGCATTTCCACCTGCAATGTATGAGGACTCCAATTTTTCCACATCCTTGCCTGAACTTGTTACTGTCTGCCTTTTTTATTATAGGCATTCCAGTGGGTGTGAAGTGGTGTCACATCATGGTTTTGATTTGCATTTCCTTAGTGACTAATATTGAGCTTACTGGCCATCTGTGAATCTTGAAGAAATGCCCATTCAAATCTTTTTTAATTGTTTTTTTTCAAAATTGATTTTTACAGAGAGAGGGTTAGAAATTTTGATGAGAAACATCAATCAGCTGCCTCCTGCACACCCTCTATTTGGGATCAAGCCTGCAACCAAGGTACATGCCCTTGACCAGAAGAGAACCCAGGACCCTTTAGTCCACCAGCTGATGTCTATCCACTGAGCCAAACTGGCTAGGGCTATGGTTGGCGAACTGCAGCTCACGAGCCACATGTGGCTCTTTGGCCCCTTGGGTGTGGCTCTTCCACAAAATATCCTGGTCTGGGCGAGTCTATTTTGAAGAAGTGGCGTTAGAAGAAGTTTAAAAAATTTGGCTCTCAAAAGAAATTTCAATCGTTGTGCTGTTGAGATTTGGCTCTGTTGACTAATGAACTTGTTGACCTCTGGGCTAGGGCAATTGGGTTGTCTTTTAATTTCTGAGTTGTACGAGTTCTTTCTATGTTCTGAATACAAGTTTCTTATCAGATACATGATTTGCAATATTTTCTCCCAGTGTGTGGTTTCTTTTGACTTTTTGGATAGTTTCCTTTGAAGTACAAATATTTTTAATTTTGATAAAGCCTAACACCTCAATCTTCTGTTTTATTGTTTGTGTAATATCTTAACCTAGTATCATAAAGATTTACTCTTGTGTGTTTTTTCTAAGTTTTAACTCTTACCTATAGATATTAGATTCATTTTTAATTACTTTTATGATGTGTCCCCATTATGCTTTTCCCCCCCTCTTTTTTCTCCTATTATTTTTTAATGTTTTTATTAATTTTTAGAGAGATAAGAAGGGAAAGAGAGAGATAGAAATATCGATGAGAGAGAAACATCAATCAGCTGCCTTCTGCATACCCCTACTGGAGACTGAGCCTGCAACTGGGGCATGTGCCCTGGCTGTGAATTGAGCTGGCGATCTCCTTCCTGGTACATAGAGAACACTCAACCAACTGAGCCACACCAGACAGGGCAGTAAGAGTATTCTTGAAGAGACTGCACCACACTCATTTCTGACTTAGGCAATATGCTTTATTTCATATGGTCATGGATTTCTGGGCTTCTCTTAGCTTCCCTTTGTAAAAAATCTTCATATAGCCAAAACCAGTTTGGCTCAGTGGTAGAGCATCGGTCTGCGGACTGAGGGGTCCCAGGTTCGATTCCAGTCAAGGGCATGTACCTTGGTTGCGGGCACATCCCTAGTAGGGGTTGTGCAAAAGGCAGCTGGTCGATGTTTCTCTCTCATCGACGTTTCTGGCTCTCTATCTCTCTCCCTTCCTCTCTGTAAAAAATCAATAAAATATTTTTTTAAAAATCTTCATATAAAGGAATTATCCTAAACATTTACATATATCTAACTACAACTTAATTAAATAAAGTTAGAGAATTAATACAGCTTTTGGCAGGAATTTGTTTTATTGTTGCTGACCACATGCATGCAGAGTACCTACCAATCTCCTCACAGCAAATACTGTGAACAATTTGGGATTTCAGTTTTCAGACTTGTTTTCTAAACCTGCATGATTCTTTATCATTATTATTATTTTTAAAAATATATTTTATTGATATTTTAAAGAGAGGAAGAGAGAAGGTTAGACACATCGATGCAAAAATCATCCATCAGCTGCCTCTTACACACCCCTTACTGGGGATATGCCTGCAACTAAGGTACATGCCCTTGACCGGAATCAAACCTGGGACCCTTCAGTCCGCAGGCCGACGTTCTATCCACTAAGCCAAACCGGTTTCGGCTCTTCTTTTTTTATTATTGATTTTTTTACAGAGAAGAAGGGAGAGGGAGAGTTAGAAACATTGATGAGAGAAACATCAGTCAGCTGCCTCCTGCATACCCCCCACTGGGGATGTGCCCACAACCAAGGAACATGCCCTTGACCAGAATTAAACCTGGGACCCTTGAGTTCGCAGGCCGACACTATCCACTGAGCCAAACAGGTTAGGCCTAAATCTGCATGATTCTTTTCTAAAGATTATGTTAATCAGAATATATTGGTATAAATTGTTTTAGAGTATACCTACACCAACAAATTTAGCTCAAATGTGTCTGGAAACCTGATATTTAATTTTCATCTCAATGGAAATCCCTTCAAAGTACATTCTATTCCATCCATTCTAACTTCATCATATTCACCCTCTTACCCTATCAAAGCTTGGACACATGATGATAATTTTTATTAACTCCTCATAATATAATTTTTTTTTTTAATCCTCACCCAAGGATATTGTTCCCATTGATCTTTAGATAGAGAATGGAAGGGAGAGAGAAAGAGAAACATTGATGAAAGAGAGACACATGGACTAGCTGCCTCCCGCATGCACCCTGACCTGGGATCAAACCTTCAACCCAGGTACAAGCCCTTGACTGGGAATCAAACCTGCGACTACCCTTCTGAAGGCAACACTCTAATCACTGAGGCAAACTGGCCAGGGCTCACAATATAATTCTAACAGACCATTTTTTTAAATATATATTTTATTGATTTTTTACAGAGAGGAAGAGAGGGATAAAGAGTTAGAATCATCGAGGAGAGAGAAACATCAATCAGCTGCTTCCTGCACACCCTCTACTAGCGACAAGACTTCATCCAAGGTACATGCCCTTGACTGGAATCAAACCTGGGACCCTTCAGTCCACAGGCGGAAGCTCTATCCACTGAGCCAAACCGGTTAGGGCCTAACAGAACAATTTAATATTCTGTTTTGGTTCCTGCCCAGCAAGTCACAAAGTGTGTTATTTTACTGGAGCTAGCCCTGAAGAGTAAAGATAACCTATGAATGAATTCTTCCAATCTTCAATCTTGTATTTGGTCAGTAAGTCTCCATTTCTCTATGATACTTCTCTATGATACCACCACAGTTTTCTACCAGGGTCTGGCTGTGTATCATATGCCTTCTAATAACAAGGCTACTTAACTACTCTTTCGTTCTCTAAAATCAGACATCAATGATTTGGGAGAATGGAATGAAATTGTCACGTTTCGATCCAGTAGACATGTATTCTTATCAGTACAAGGTACGAAACATACCTTTTACTTATCTCATCATTGCCCAGAAATCTGATTTGAAAAGCATCCTCAAACACTTCCTTTAGTTCATGCTCAGTGACCTTGCTAGGCAAGTTCTTGATCAAAAGTGTTTTGGCATTTCGATCTACATAAATAAAAAAGAATATTTTTAGCCTGTGCTTAGATCTCATAGGCATCAAAAGTTCTCTGAGAAAAAAAATATTTCACAAGAGTTGAAGAGAGGAAACAACGATGCCTACTCCTTCAAATATTTGAATTAGACAAATATTTGAACATATAGGTTGGGCAAGGGCCTATGCTTCATGCTGGCTGTGAAATACAGGACTGTGGTCTTGTTGGGGAAAAACCAGTACATAAACAATCCCGTAATTACAAATTGTGCTAAGTGCCAGGAAAGAAAAGTAAAAGGGGAGATGAGAACATTTAGTGGAGAAGACATAGCCTCATCTGGGGTAAGGGAAAGGATTCCAGATCTGAGGAAGTGACCTTTAAACTGGATGGGCTACAGGTAGCCAGGGCATGAGTCCTGCAGTGAACATGTGACAGAGAAGATAAAGTAGAAAATGACAGACAGTAAGGTAAAGAACACTGTGACAGAGAAGGTGGGCCAGGCAGCTTGAGCACAGGGAATGAGAGCACGGCAGATCAAGTTGATGCTGTGGAAGTAGGAGACCTGTTGGTAACGGAGGAGCATGGAATAAGACAGAAGATGATATTCTTGCCTGATGCAGTCTTTTAGATAGGTATCTATAGACAAATTACCTTATTTGCATACCTTTCTTTGTTTCCTTTCCCTTTGGTTTCTTCAATTTAATTTCATACCCAAGGACCTTTGTCTCACTGAGTTCCAGGGCTTTTTCCTGATCGTCAACAGATTTAAAATTCACATAACCAAATCTCCTACAGAGAGAGAAGAAGAAAGGAAAACACACACACACACATACACACTGGTGAATTAGTATCAAGTAGAAATTAGTATCAAATAAAAAGCAGTTGCCGAATTTAAGATTTAAAACCAAGGCTCCACCACCTGGCAATATCAGTGCCAGGGAGTCCCCAGAGAATAGTGGTTCTCACCAGCGAGTTTGGCAATATCTGGGGACATTTTTGGCTGTTATAACTCGGGGAGTGCTTCTATTATCTTGTAGGTAAAATCCAGGAAAGGGGCTAAACAGCTACAATGAACTTGACAGCCCACCACACAAAGGTCAACCATGCCAAGGTTGAGAAGCCCTGATCTAGAGCAAGGACTGATTTTCTGTTTAATAACTGACCAAATTTAACCAAAAGCTATAAAAAGCGAAGCTTAAAATGACAAGTTTTCGAACTTTTATTTTTAAGAAGCAGCCATCTGCATTTGTTTATTGGAACAAAAATATTATTCCTAATGTGGATTTGTTAACACTCAAGGGCTGTTACAGTAATAACTTTTTGTTAATACAAAAGGAATCCTTACTTACTGCAAATGCAACAATATTACAAAATATAGCTAACAAAAACTGGCAGAAGAGCCAGGGGATAGGCTCTGGAGCCAGAATGCTGGGCTCAAATCTTGGCTCTGCCCCTTTTTCGCTGTCATACTGGACATGCAGCATAACTTCTCTGAGCCTTAATCACCTCTTCTACAAAATGGGGATATGACAATAATCACCACAGAAGACTATCTTATGGAGTAAGTTACATAAATAAGAAACTAAGAGCAACACCTGGAACAGTGAGCACCCAGCAAATGTTTACTAGTATGATTATCTTTCATTTCTATCTGAGAAATTCTGAGTTCTACAAAACACGCTTACACCTAAGATATATACTTCTGATGAGAAAGAAGTGAGAAAAGATGAAACTCAACTCAGCAAAAAAGAAGAACTGATGCAACTATATTTACCACCAAAGCTGGCGGTTTTGTGATTAAATTTGTGACTTGGCTAAAATAATTCTAGGCAAATAACATTGCTCCCAGTTGGAAAATCATGAAAATATGTTTCTGTCAAGACTCGGAAGATCTTGGGATTATTTTAATGCTTTGGTTGGGAAAATTGGATAGCAAAGTTTAATCTTATAAGTTTAACAAACGAGCCACTAAAGGGTTTTAGATACTCATTTTGAACTGCAAGAGACTGAGGTAAAATCCTACCAAAGGGCAAAGAGCAAGTAACAGAAAGCTGTGACAAAACAGAAGTCTAGTAACCCACCATGAAACAGAAAGCGACTGGGACTCCTAAATTCTCCAGGGACAGTACGTGCTAGGCTGATAAACTCTTAACAACATTCTTAATTTACCGGTATTTACCTGGATGAGCTGACTCTGACATCAACAACTGTGAGTTCATTTTTAGCAAAAAATTCCCTGAGACCAGTTTTTAGTTCAGCAGCAGTTTTGTTGAAATTCAGGTTTCCAACAAACAGTTTGAAAGTTACAGGTGGTTCAGCTGCCATACAGAAAGGTAAAACAACAATAACAACACACACAAGTCAAATAAGCAGTTCAGAAAGAATGATGCTAAAAGAAAAGTCATTAAAGACTGGTGTATTATAACACCAAGCTGCAATTAAAATCCCTGCTCATCTTTTAAGATTTGGTTTTCACCAAGATAAAACTCTCTATGTGTCCCTTATATTTTAAACACAGGAAAGAGCCTTGGCCGGTGTTCTCAGTGATTAGAGCATTGGCTTGCACACATGAAGGTCTCAGGTTGGGTTCCCAGTCAAATGCACATACCTGGGTTGCAGATTCCATACCCACCCCTGGTCTCTTATGAGGGAGGCAATTAATCAGTATGTGTCTCTCTCCTCCTCCCTCCCTCTCTCCCTCCCTTTCACTCTCTCTAAACAGCAATGGAAAAAATATCCTTGGGTGAGAATTAACAAAACAAAACAACACAGCAAAGGAGTTACCTTCTAATTTCTGTTTTTTGGTTTCAGGGGAAGCCTTCTGTTTGGCCATTTTCTTCTTCTGTTTATCAGGTGTTTTTTTAATATGATCTGTGGACAAAAGCCAAAATATTGTATTTTTACTGATCTGTCTGCGCCACTAGTAAGTAAACTGGAAGCTCTTACACTCTCCACAAATATATGTGTTATGCCTATTCTTTTTTTTTTTTTTTAATATATTTTATTGATTTTATACAGAGAGGAAGGGAGAGAGATAGAGAGTTAGAAACATCGATGAGAGAGAATCATCGACCAGCTGCCTCTTGCGCACCCCTTACTGGGGATATGCCCGCAACCAAGGTACATGCCCTTGACCGGAATCGAACCCGGGACCCTTCAGTCCCCAAGCCGACGCTCTATCCATTGAGCCAAACTGGTCCCGGCGTTATGCCTATTCTTTACAAGACACATGGATTAGGTCTGATCAAAATACTTTTAAAAGCATTTATAAATTAATTAGAAAGTTCTTCAAGTTCCTAACAGAAATCCAACAGTCCCTGCCCAAGGACTTCCCTTAGAACTAGAAATCGCTGATATTGGCCACCATTTAACATATAGTCAGTTTTGGGTCATTCTGACCCTCCTCCTCCTCATAGCCTTTGTCATCACAGTGGTTGTCCTGCTCATCCTTCTCAACCCCTACAGGAAAGGCTTTTCTCCCTCTGGACCACGGAGAATTCACAGCTTCTTTTCAGAATCTAAATGAAAACCCACCCAATCAATTCCTAACACATATTCAAGTACCTCCTTTAAATAAAACTCATACCAATACACTTTAGAATCTATCTCAATTACCTTCCTCTTCCTCCAACTCCACCTCTACCTCCACCTCCACCTCAATTTCATCTTTATCCTCTTTGTCATCATTCTCTTTGTCTTCATTTTCTGTGCTCTTGGCCTTCACGGGAACAGCTTTTACAGAAGCTTTCTTGCCTTTGGCTGGTGCAATCTCCATAGGTTCTTCTTCAGAGTCTGAAAGAGATTCTACCTAGTCAAAAACTCAAGAGAATTATTCCCAAACCAACACAGTTCCAGATAAATCTAAAGGAAAACATAAATAGTACAACATATGCTTAGTAGTTATAGCAAGAATTAACAGATTCTTTGGGAAGTGAAACCCTATATTATGAAAACTACTCATAGAATGTGCTGTGCTAAACATTTTATCAGGGGCAGGCAATCATTCATGGCTACCACCCTAGTACATAACCAGCACAGAGAATCCCTGGGAGGATTTTTATCTACCCCCATGGTGTCATGGAAGGAGAATGTTTACATGTTGCCCACCCATCCCACAATATCACCCGTAATGTACCTTGCAAACAAGAACCCAAGGACTACCCGTAGAATGCCTTACCATCTTCTTTATCATCATCCTCATCATCCAAGAAAAGGGCAGCAGCAGCAGCTTTCATCACTGCTGGTTCAAATTCATCCTCCTCTTCCTCATCACTATCTTCCTTCTTGGCATTCTTGACATTCCTTGCTCCCTTGTCTGGGGTGGCTGCTTCTTTCTTTCCAGGAGTTGCTGGGGCTTTGGCTGGTGTAATTGCTGCCTCTTTGCCAGGAGTGGCAACTGTAAGTTTTTCTGTTGGAGAAAACATCACCTTCTTTCCTGGAGTTGTAGTAGCCTTCTTTCTTTTTTTCTGAGGAATGATAACCTCAAAATTAAGTAAAAACAAACATGAGTCACTCAGCCGGTGAGGCTCAGTTGTTGAGCATCGACCTACAAACCAGGAGGTCATAGTTTGATATATGCCCGGGCTGTGGGCTCAATCTCTAGTGGGAGGCATGCAGGAAGAAGCCGATCAATGATTCTCTCTGATTATTTATGTTTCTATGTCACTCTCCTTCTCCCTTCCTCTCTGAAATCAGTAAAAATATATTTTAAAACAAATAAACAAACATGAGTCTATTTTCAAACTCAAAAAGGGAGTACTGGTCCCTCATAAATGAGCACTAAATTCTGGCACTGCCTTCTGGTTCAAGACCACATGCATTAGATATATGCTAGCATGTTAAACTATAGCATCATGCTACATGTCCTTCTCTATACCTGTGCAGTCACAATCCTCATTTTTAGGGAAAATGTCTAATCATAATGAACCCTTCAAATACCCCTGGACCCACACCTGTTAGTTTCTATACCTCATACTCTAAGCACTTTAGCTTGGAAGCAGCACACCCTAAAGCATTCTAAAACTAGACTGTCTAAATCCCATCTGCTACTGAGTGGCTCTAAAAGAGTTTTTAAAAATATATTTTTATTGATTTCATAGAGGAAGGGAGAGGGAGAGGAAATATCAATGAGAGAGAATCATTGATTAGCAGACTCTTGCAAGCCCCCTACTGGGGATCAAACCCACAACCTGGGCATGTGCCCTTGACCGGAACTGAAGTCTGCAAGCTGATGCTCTATCCACTAAGCCAAACCAGTTAGGAATAGGAGAGATTTTATTTATTTTTTAAAATATATTTTATTGATTTTTTACAGAGAGGGAGAGGGAGAGAGAGCTAGAAACATTGATGAGAGAGAAACATCAATCAGCTGCCTCCTGCACACCCCTCACAGGGGATGTGCCTACAACAAAGGTACATGCCCTTGACCAGAATCAAACCCGGGACCCTTCAGTTTGCAGGTCGACCTCTATCCACTGAGCCAAACTGGTTTTGGCAGGAGAGATTTTTTTTTTTAAGCCTCACCTTTTTTTTTCTCTTCTGAAAATGATAACCATCGTTACATGTTGTTTTGAGGATTATGAATTAATTTCTGTAACTAAGAACTCTGTTAAGTGTTATTAAATCATTTGGGGAGGTGGTATAAAGTGCATGAAAGCTCAGTCTTAGGACCAGAGATAATATGAATATCAAATAGGCTGGACAGTCCTTGCAAAATTAATATAAATAGAGTGGGCAGTTAGCTTGATAAAAGCATTATCTACATTCAAGTCACACTCAAAGCTACCTTTTGCTGACCACCAGTTTTATCAAGTTATGTGTTAAAACTTGTAGCCAGTGGGAGCGGCCAGGCCCGGGGGAGCAGCCGGGTCGGGTGCGGCCAAGCCCGGAGCAGCAGCTGCCAGGCTGGGAGCGGCCAGGCCCGGAGCAGCAGCAGCCAAGTCCAGAGCAACTAGGTTGGGAGCGGCAGTGACCAGACCCGGAGCAGCTGGCTGTGGAACGGACCAGAGCAACAGAGGCCAGGCCCTGAGCAGCCAGGCCCGGAACAGCTCGCTCCTCACCTGCCCCTGCCCCACGGCTGCCTCTCAGACATGGCTGGAAACTTTCGTGGGAACTTGAGGGTCTGCTGAATCAAGTGATGAAGGCTTAGAGCTGGATGTGTTGAGTTAGTATAGGGCTGGGGTGTTGATCTGTGAGTGCCTTGGGTGGGGCCTGGATGAGGCTGGTGGACCTATTGGGAAATGTCTTTTGTGTGAAGTGTATCATTGGGCATGTGGAGGTATTATTGATATGAGAAAATGCTAAGTAACTGATTTACTATCTGAAAAGGGATTTACTATCAGGGAAAGGGAGGGAAGAAGAGACTGAACATAAACTGTGCACCTATGGATGAGGACAATGGGGGATGGGGAGGGGGCAGAAGGTGGGGTGGGAACCTGGTGGAGGGGGGAAGAAATGAGGAACCTTTGTAATAATATGAACAATAAAGATTGATTTAAAAATTAAAAAAAAATTAAAAATTAAAAAAACTTGTAGCCAGGAGTACCAAAGTGTCATTGTCAGCACAAAGGAAGGTGGTGTTCCTCACCACACAATGACTAGTGTTACAAAACTTGTACAAGAACAGAGACCTGCCCAGCCAGTGTAGCTCTGTGGTTGAGTGTCACCCTATGAACCAGGTCACAATTCCATTTCCAGGCAGGGCACATGCTCCAATTGTGGACTTGATCCCCAGTAGGGGTACAGGAGACAGCCAATCAAAGATTCTGTCATTATTGTTTCTATGTCTGCCCCTCTCCTTTCCTCTCTGAAGGAAAAAAAAAAAAAAAAATTAAAAAAAAAATATATATATAATATGTTAAAAAACAGAGACCTGCTGAGACCGGTTTGGCTCAATGGATAGAGCGTCGGCTTGGGGACTGAAGGGTCCCGGGTTCGATTCCGGTCAAGGGCATGTACCTTGGTTGTGGGCACATCCCCAGTGGGGGGTGTGCAAGAGGCGGCTGATTGATGACTCTCTCTCATGGATGTTTCTAACTCTCTATCTCTCTCCCTTCCTCTCTGTACAAAATCAATAAAATATATTAAAAAAAAAAAAAAAAACCAACAAAAAAACAGAGACCTGCTTGGCAGCTAGGAAAGGAATCTGGTAAGGCTAACCTCAGATCTGAATATAATGTTCAGCACTGCCACACACAAGACAGCTAACTGTCCAGGCTGTTTCCTCATCTAGCATGTGGGGCTACCATGTTGAAATTGGAAAAATATTTTGTTTTTTAAATATATTTTATTGATTTTTTTACAGAGAGGAAGGGAGAGAGACAGAGAGCTAGAAACGTCGATGAGAGAAACATCGACCAGCTGCCTCTTGCACACCCCCAACCAACGTACATGCCCTTGACCGGAATCGAACCTGGCACCTTTCAGTCCCAGACCGATGCTCTACTGCGGGCCAAACCAGTTTTGGCTGGAAAAATGTTTTAATACATCATCACACTAAGCCCTGTAGAAGGCATGAAAGGAGGCGGCTCCAGATCTTTTCTCTCAATCTCATCCAAATACCTACCCTTATGGTATTTTGACAGGTCAACGAAGAGCTTGCAAAACACTCAACTATTACAACAGGGCATATATGAAGGAATACAATCTTCCCTTTGCCAGTATTTTCAGACATATACTATGATTGTATAGGACTCGGCATTAAATTGTACATAATTACCTCTTCTCCACTGCTTTCATCTCCTCCATCTGACATTTCCTCATCTTCACTACCTTCTTCTACCTCCTTTGAAGAAGCCATTTTCTTGGGATCACCTTTTTACTAGCCTAAGATGGACAATTATTAGCACATTACACCTCTCACATTTCAAGCCACCCACATTTTGCCTGCAGTCATCTTCCTCTCTCAGAATCCACTTTTCATTCTGTTAAACATTACAAATAAGATAAACCAATCTTATGTAAAAATATAATTTTAGCCCTTGCTTGTTTGGCTCAGTGGCTAGAACATTGGCCTGGGGTTTGAAGGGTCCCAGGTTCAATTTTGGTCAAGGGCATGTATTTCGGTTGCAGGGTCTGGACCTTGGTTTGGAGCCATGCAAGAGGCAAACAATGGCTGTGTTTCTCTCACATTGATATTTCTGTCTTTCCCTCTCTTTAAAAATTAATGGAGCCGAAACCGGTTTGGCTCAATGGATAGAACGTTGGCTTGGGGACTGAAAGGTCCCGGTTTCGATTCCGGTCAGGGGCATGTACCTTGGTTGCGGGCATATCCCCAGTAGGGGGTGTGCAAGAGGCAGCTCATCGATGACTCTCTCTCATCGATATTTCTAACTCTCTATCTCTCTCCCCTGCTCTCTGTATAAAATATATTTTAAAAAATAAAAAATAAATTAAAATTAATGGAAAAATATCCTTGTGTGAGGACTAAAAAGAAAAAAAAAAACAATTTCAAATAAATAATCTCCCTCCTCCTATTGCCTTCATTTAGCACACTTATTTTAAAAATTATACTTCGAGCCCTAGGTAGTTTGGCTCAGTGGATAGAGCCTCGGATCCTCGATGGGATTCCCAGTCAGGGCACATGCCTGGGTTACAACCTCCCATCCCCAGTGGGGCCGTGCAGGAGGCACCACACCAGTGTTTCTCTCTCATCATTGATGTTTCTCTCTCTTTTCCTCTCTGAAATCAATTAAAAAAAAAAACACAAACCTTAAAAAAGTCTTCAGTAAATTCTGGCACCTTATCCCACCCCTCTCCTCTGAATTTAAATTAGGGCAATTTTAAAGAGCAATCATGTCTTAACTAGACTTTAAAAACGAAGAAATGAGGCTAGTCCCCACCTCGTGGAACGACCTGCGTGGCCCGGCCCACGTGACGGGCCACCCAAGGCACGTGCCCCGCTCCCGCCGGTTCCAGAGGTTTGGCCTCATCCCTGCACCCCAAGGCCCAGCGCCTCCTCCCCACGCTCAGCCCCGAAGTCTTCCCCCGCTGCCTCAACCACCCGCAACACCTGCCGAAGCTCTTCACCTCGCTACCAAGTACCCAAAATACCAAGTACCCCAAAGCGCAAGACCTCCGCGCTAATCACGCGAGACTTTCCGCAGCATGACGCCAGGGATGGTGCGCAGACCCTCCTCCTCGCGGCGCCCTGCGCGCGTTCCTCGGGAAACGGGCCTCGACGTTCGAGGAAGGCCTCTTATCTTTGTGGGTAACAACGGAGGAGCGTGTGGCGCGTGAGGGGCAGACGAGCCTAGAGGAACCGAGCAACGTCAAGGGGGCCGCTGGTACGGAAGTCTCTGGCGCGTACGTTTCGCGACCAACTCCAGTTCGAGCCTGAGGCGAAAGATCATCTTTGGAAAGTCGACGTCTGTGCCTTCGTCACTCCATTTCAACCAATCGGAGTTTGCGCTCATTCCATGGGCCAATCGCGGGCGTCGTGGGGCGGGGCCTGGAGTGGGCTGGCCACGGCCGCCGGAAGAGAGGCTGGAGATTCCGTTTCTGGGTCGGGCGGGGGTGCGGACGGAGGAATAGGGGTGGCGAGCAGGCACCCTCTTTGTGCCAGGCCGGCGCAGACTGGAGGGGTGGGCGCGCGGCTCCCGAAGGGCCCCTCCGAGGCCTGTGTTCGCGGAGCCTGCGCCTTGGGATGGACGTTTTTTGCGCCGCGTGTGCCGATCTTGGGGGCTGTGGATGTTGGCCCTCCCTCTCCTGTTCCCGCTTGTGTCGGGATCCTGTCCACTGGGGCAGAGAGCCTCGACATCCCCGTCCCTCACTCCACGCCCAGCCTCCCCGCTGCTGCTATGGAGAAAGGAATTCGCCCACGTTTCCCTGCTGATGAGCTCAAGAGTCCTAAGTTCACAACGCCAGCGTGGGAGGCCCACCTTAGAAAACCCCCGGTCTGCAGGTGCTGAGAGCTGTTAATAAAGGCAGTCACGTTGATGGAGAAATATGTGAATCTTTATTGCAAACTTAAAAAACATTTTATTGTGAATATTTTCAAATATACATTAAGTAGAGAAAATTGAAGATGAATCCTCTATTACCCATCACCCAGCTTCAAAACTAAAATATTTTAAAAAATATATCTTCATTGATTTAAGAGAAGAAGGGAGAAACATCAATTATGAGAATCATTGATTGGCTGCCTCCTGCACGCCCCTTCTGGAGACTGAGTGTGCAACCTAGGTCCACAGGCTGACGCCTTATCCACTGAGCCAAACCAACTTGGGCAAAACTTAAATATTTTTGCCATTCTTTTCTCAACTATTCCCTGCACCACTTTTACCTTCTCACCCCTTTCCTTTCCCACTCCCCCTTCTCCTTTTTCGCTTGAGTATTTTAATGTGAATCCCAAGCATCCTATCCTTTTGCCTGTAAATACTTCATAGTGTACTTCTACAGCAGTGGTTCTCAACCTTCCTAATGCCTCGACCCTTTAATACAGTTCCTCATGTTGTGGTGACCCCCAACCATAAAATTATTTTCGTTGCTACTTCATTACTAATTTTGCTACTGCTATGAGTCGTAATGTAAATATCTGATATGCAGGATGTCTTAGGTGACCCCTGTGAAAGGATCGTTCGACCCCCAAAGGGGTCGCGACCCACAGATTGAGAACTGCTCTACAGGATATTGGCTTTGACATCTGTTCCTAAACAGCCCCAATTGTCCTGCTCTGCCCTGTGCAGGAACTTGAAAGAGGGTGAGGCCTGTGCTGAAGAGGTTTAGACTGTCAGAAGAATGTAAATGTTCCTAGGATCAAAATGCCTTAAATCTGGTCTCATCTTTCTCACTTCTTAAGAAAAAAAAAAAAAGTTTTAAAAACAGTGAGAGAAATAATTTGAATGATTACTAAGTATTACAGACTCTTGTGTGGGGCTTTAAAAAAATAAATGAAAATATCTGCTTATCTTAGATTTTTTAAAACTGTGGTAAATACACAGCAAAATTTATCTTAACCATTTAATCATACAGTTGAATATTGTTTGAGCACGTTCACATTGTTGTGCAACCAGAAGGGGGCATGGGAGGTGGTGCGTAGGGAGGTCAGGGAGGCAGAGGGGTGGGATGGTGAGGGTGTACTGGAGACTAATTTCCGCCTTGGTAATCTGAGGGTGTCAGTGGGTTTCACTACAGCAGTGACTTACGCACACTCGCAGAAAATGCAGCTAAAGGGGCAGAGGGTGGCACTTAGAACATCATTTTGCAGGCAGGGGATCAAGGCCTGGAAAGGTGAGGTGATATGCTTGATGCCACACAGCGAAGGTGGCGACGGGGCCAAGGCTGGAACAGGTCGCCTGGATTCCTGCCACCCTACAGTGCCTCTAGTGGAGATCCCAAAGCAGAATAAGCTGACTGGGCCAGGGAGGGGTCAGGTAGGAGGAGAGTCCCAGCGCAGGCTGTGAGCAAGAAAGGGACAGAAAATGGAGGGAAAGGTAGATCCTTGGGGAAACATTTTGGAAACTGGCAGGAGGGTGGCTGTCCCCATATGAAGGTGTGCTGTGCCAGTTCACCGACTGTGATGTTCCTGCAGGGAAGGACTTTACGTGGAGGCCTCGGGGCCTAGAGGGTAATCTTATATCCCTTCTAGGACATGGTGGGGGCAGGAGTCACTGAGGTGCCTGCAGCGGGGACAGGGCATGAAGACATAGCCGAAGAGGATGGCAGGTGTGACTACAGGTGGCCCTCTGGTGCCTCCAGGTGAAGCTGCTCTGGGGCTTCTCTCTGGAGGGAGAGGTCAGTCTCTTGCTGTCCCTCAGGGCCACAGTTCTCAGCCAGAGGATGGGCCCTGCTGCCCAGGGAGCCCATGTCACACAGGGTGCTGCCCGTGGTCACCCTGCTGAGGCTGCGGGAGCTGTGACGTCGTTGGTGGCCACGGCACCGGCTTCCCAAGCACAGGGCTTCCCGGAAGGTGTCCTGGAAGCGGCTGGACATGAGGCTGTAGAGCACGGGGTTCACAGCTGAGCTGAGGTAGAAGAAGACGCCGGAGATGACGTGTACGTACGAATAGGCCAGGATCAGGCAGTTGGTCCAGTGCGACACGAAGCTCCACATGAGACGGTCGATGTGGAACGGGGCCCAGCAGATGCCAAACACCAGGATCAGCACAACTGTGGGGGCAGAGAAGGGAGTCTGGGTCTGCTCATTCTCCCCTCCCCTCCTATTCCACAGGCTACCCATGCCACTGTCCATCTGGAAGTTTGCCTGCCCTGGCCACACCCCTATCAGAGAGGCTGCTCTCACTACTGTCACTGAGTGGGCAGTGGATATGTGCCCTGCCCCTGGGCACAGGCCACTGGGCCAGGCATGGACACTTGAGTCTGGCCCAGCCTGACTATCTCACCATGGAGCTTGAAACTAGGTGACTATAAGCTCTGGACACAAAGCCCCAGCGTGATGCAGAGTGTGCGGCTAAGGCCCATCCTGGACAATGCCTATTAATGAGGAAGCGGAGAGAAGCAGAAGAATGGGGCTCATGCTCAGACAGCAATAGATGGAGGTGAAAGGCAAGATAAACACAAACACCTCCCTTGTCTGCCTTGCCCCAGAGCCTTCCCAGCCCCAGCCACCAAGTCTCCAAGGCCCAGCTGAATATCCTGCCCTGTACTAACTGTCCGTTACTTGAGGTCCCATCCCCCACCGTCCAGCAAAAAACAGGACAGGTGGACCAAGGACTCTTTCTCCCCAGCTTCCTTCCAGCCCTAGTCTTAACCAGCCATGATCTTCTTGGGTCTCTGTCCCTGGGTCTGCCTTGATTTTTTTTTTTTAATATTTTTTTAAATTGATTTCAGAGAAGAAGGAAATGGGGGAGAGAGAGAGAAAGAAACATAAATGATGAGAGATAGTCATTGATTGGCTGCCTCCTGCACGCCCCCTACTGGGGATCAAGCCCACAACCGGGGCATGTGCCCTTGACCAGAATCGAACACCAGGCCCTTCAGTCCACAAGCCGACGCTGCGGACACTCTATCCACTAAGCAAAACCAGCTAGGGCTGCCTTGATTTTTGATTCTGATTTCTTGTGTTTGTTTAGCTGACTATCTTTCCCCTGTAGTGTCAGCCCAGTATGGTTTTGCTTGTAATCCCAGATTTCACTGTCCCCAGCACACAGCCTGCTGTTTAGTAGGCCTTCAGAAAGTAAAGGTGGAGAAGGGAGGGGTGGAGGGAGAGAAGAAAGCCAGAATCCCAGGCCAGCAACCAAGGTGGCCTTAAGAAAACATCTTCCCACCCTCCTGCCCAGGGTGAAAACCATCCCAGCTGAGCAGACTTAGACCTGAACCCTGTGATCTGGAGGAAACAGGAGCGGGGGTGAGGGTGGGCAGGGGCCAGTTGGTCTGTAGTACAGGCTTCACAGTGCAGAGCTGGGAAGCAGGCAAGGAACTCCAGGGGATGGCAAGAGGCACCACACTCTGGAACACCACACCCAGGGCAGGGAGGAGGGGTTTTCTCTGGGAACGGGGCAGTCCTCAGTTAGCTGGCTGTGATCCCATGGCTTTGACCAAGGCCTCACCAGCCTGTGCTGCCCTGGCTCACCCCATCTGCCTGATTCAGGCCCTGCAAGGTGGGATGAGATGGGCTGGAAATCAATGACTGTCTTAGTATCAGTTTGTTTTGCTTCCCCAAGGCCACTGTTTTTTGCAAAAGAACCAAGTCTAGAGTAACATCTAGAATCTCAACCCAGCTGCATGCCTTGGCTGGCCCCAGTCCACACTTCTGCCCTGATTCTCCTATGCTCTGACTCTCACAAATACCCATCCTGACAATCCTCTTTTAGACAATGATCACCCGTGTGGTCTCCAGGGAACTGCAAACATAGATGGAAGAAATTCATCATCTTGCATATGCAGATCCTCCCAGATCCCCCCATATGGTTCTGTGGGGGTAGTCACTTCAGCAGCCCGTCATTCTGGCCTGAGGATGGGCCAATTTTTCCCTGGAACTTTTCAATAGCCACTAAGGAAAGAGAACGGTTCCTCAGGAAAGCCTATGGCCATGCTTTCCAGTGACGTAGGAAAGGACAGAGCCAAGATGTGTTTAGGAGCCAAGATGAGAGACCTGGATGGTCCAGATGACATAAACAACTGTTATCCTGGAGCCCAGCCATGTTGCCTGCCCTGTCTGTGGCTTGGGCCCGAGATCCAGGGCTGGCTTCATGTGTGTGCCACCTGTGCATTTGCACAGGGCCCGAGTTTAAAATGGTTTAATGCTCTACTGTTGCTGTTCTGACCATCTTACTTTTTTAACAAGAAACCTGAATTTTCATTTTGTACCGTGCCCTGCAAATGTGTAGCTGATCTTGCCTGAAGCCATTAGCATTTGCCTTTGGTGTTAGTTTCTAAAACAGGAAGCATGCATGCACTTGTGTATGTGCACCTGTGCGTACACACACACGGAGAGGTATGTGATTCCAAGCCTTACCCTTATAAACTCGGATGCAGCCCCTCCTTCCAGGCCCTGGAAGCCCCAGACTCATACCCACCGTCTCCATCAGCCCCTGTTTCCAGCAGCAACACTTACACAGCATCTTGGTCACCTGCATCCGACCCTTATCCTGTAGTTGCTGGACCCTGCTCTTGGGCCCCTGCCTGAGCAGCAGCAGCTTCTCACTCCGCAGCTGTAGCCCGATGAGCAGGTAGAGCACGCTGATGATGGCCATGGGCAGGCAGAAGAAGAGCAGAGCTGTGATCTGCATGAGTAGGTTGTAGGAGGCCCTTGAGCTGACCACCATACATATAGCCGAGTCGGGCACTAGGCCCCGGCAGGGCACATCCAGCTGCTTGATGCCATGCAGGCTGGTGTTGGGCAGAGAGCAGAGCACAGCAAGGCTCCAGATAGCCCCGAGCACCCGGCGAACATGGGCTTGGGTCATCACAGACCTGGCCTGCAGTGGGTGCACCACTGCCATGTAGCGCTCCACACTCAGGGCGGTGACATTGAGCACAGAGGCCAGGCAGACTGTCTCAAAGAGCAGCGTACGGAAGTAGCAGCCACCAGCGCCCAGCAGGAAGGGGTAGTTACGCCACTTCTCATAGAGCTCCAGGGGCATGCCTAGGAGCAGCACCAGCAGGTCCGATACGGCCAGGCTGAAGAGGTAGTAGTGGGTGGGCGTGCGCATGGCCTTGTAGCAAAGGATGACCATGCAGGTTAGCCCGTTGCCCACGGTGCCCACCACAAAGATCAACAGGTACGTGACACAAATGGGTAGAAACAGATCTGTCTTCTGGGGCCCCAGATACTTGAGTCTCAGCTCCTGATCAGTCAGGTTCAAATCCTCAGGTTCAAAGAGCTCCCGCGCCCCACTGCCATTGCAGGGCACCGGGCTCCTTGCACTCCTGGGGGACATGTCTCCAGGGAAGATGGAACAATTGAGGCAGAAAGGAACCTGTGGGACAGAATACAGAGACACTCAGAAAAGTCACTTAGGGAACCCTGGCTCTGTTGTACTTCATTAAACCAAAGGTGCCATTATGTATGTACTGCTGAGAAAGTAGTCTGTCTTCCATTGTAAGATGCATTACAACTTCAAAGATGTAAAAATGTACATCTTACCCTAGCCGGTTTGGCTCAGCAGTTAGAGCGTCACCCATGGACTGAAAGGTCTCAGGTTCAATTCCGGTCAAGGGCACGTATCTCTGTTGCAGACTCGATCCCCAAGGCAAGCAATTGATGTGTCTCTCTCACATCAATGTTTCTCTCTGTGTCTCTCCCCCTTTCTTCCACTCTCTCTCTTAAAAAAATAAAAAATAAGTAAATAAAAAATAAATCAATCAATGGAAAAAATAACCTTGGGTGAGGATTAATAAAAATTAAATAAATAAAAGTACATCTTCAAAATGATAAAACCCTAGCTGGTGTGGCTCAGTTGGTTGAGAATTGTTCCATGCCCCGCCAGTTTGATTTCCAATCACAGGGCACATACCCAAGTTGTGGATTTGATTCCTGTTGGGATGTGTACAGGAGGCAACCGATTGATGTTCCTCTCTCTCTAAAATCAATAAACATATTTTTACAAAAGATAAAAAGTGGACTTCAATTTGAAATGTCTCAATCTATTGAAACCTTGACTAAATGATGAATCCTTTTGAACATGGGCTTTGCCATTGGCAGTTTTCCCTTGAATCTCTCCCCTTTCAAGCCACAGACTATGAGACGGGTACTCAGTTTAGGCATCTGTAAAATGGGCAATGTGCAGGTATCACATGGTCTTGAAGAACAAGGACTCAGTAGGCAACTGCTTGGGTTCAAATCCAGCCTCCCCAGTCCCGGGTTGTGTGACCAATTTTCTGGTAACCTCTCTGCAGCTGTTTCCTTATTAGGAGGATTGAGAGAGTTTAATCCATGAAAAAGGCCTGCCTGACACATGGACGGGTCAGGTTTATCAGCATCCAATTGAGGGGACTGAGTGATAGGGGGCGCTGAGTCACTGAGAGGACTCATGGCAACGCTGATCCAAAAGTTAGTTCTTTATTGTAATCCTCACTGAAGGAGTGAGGATATTTTTCCCATTGATTTTTAGAGAGAGTGAAAAGGAGAGGGGAGAGAGAGAGTGAAAGAGAGATTGGTTGCCTCCCACACCTGACCGGGGTGGGAGTGGGTGGTGGGGATCAAACCTGCAACCTAGGTACCTGCTCTTAACTGAAAATCGAATCTGAGACCCTCTGGTGAATAGGCTGACCACTCAGTGGTGAATTCTAACCACTGAGCAATGCTGGCCATAGCCAAAAGTTCATTCTTATGTCTGTTTTCCATCACCTAAACGATTAGAAGTTGACATATTTGACACTCTTAACACTGCCAGTTCTAGGGTTCCCTCTCCTCTCTGGGACTGCCCATCTCTGCCAGTCCACCATATACAATGATTAAGAACCAAGACCATGGTGTTAAACAACTGTCCTGGGATCAAATGTTACCTCCCCTTACTGTGCCTCAGTGTCCTCATCTGTGAAATGGGGGTGTCGATAGAGCCTACCTTATAGTTTCTGTGAAGATTAAATGAGTCTACACAAAGTTCTCAGGAGTGCACCTGGTACATTCTGGGAGCTCTGTTTCAGTGCACAGTAACATGACCCTGCTCCCCACATGGAAAGGGAAGGCAGTCCCCCATACTGTCCTCCGGAGCCTGTTCTCCAAGCCCACCCCACCATCAACCCTCCCCTCCAGCAACTGGATTTTCAGGCTGGTTCCCGGACCTTCTTCCTATTCCTTCAGACCCATTCCTCTTCAGTCCTGGGCTTGGGGCCTCAGGTAGCCTACATACCCCCGCAACCACCTTTCAACTACTTCCTTTTCCAGGTGCTTTGCTCTCCCAGACCCAAGCATCCTTCTTCTCCTCTCTTCCCCCTTCTTCTCCTCTCCCTCGCCACTCCCTCTTCTCTCCTTTCCTTTCCTTTCTCTGTTTTCTTCTTTTTTATTTATTTATTTATTTATTTTTACTCCAGTGAGGTAGTAAACTGGGTCATAGGGTCCCCCAGTCACTCTTAATCAGAGTATTTCCTTCTCCCCAAATAAAATCCCCCATCCTCCCTAACCCTCCCACACATAATCCCCGCATTTTGGGATCCTGGCGCGTTTTCATCCAACTCAAGCGCAGCCTCTACCTCGGGCGGGAGGCGGGGGATGAGCTGGACCAGCGCAGCGCAGACCCAGCATCCAGCGAGGCTCCCTGCACCTCTGGGGAGGGTCGCCCCGCGGCGCACGCGGTCTCACCAAGACAAATCACCTGCGAGTCCCTCTGAGATGGGGCTCCCCAACTGGACCCTCAGACCTCTATCACCGAGAGGACCCAGTCCGCGCCCCTCCCGCCTCTTCTTGCCCACGCCCCACGCCCCACGCCCCACGCCCTGTCTAGCCACAGCGCTCTTGCCCGCCCCGGCATCCCGCTCACCTACCATGCCGTCGGCGGCCGTGAGCTCCAGCGGCGGGAGCACACCCGACCGGCAGCTGCGGCGCCAGGAGAGAGCGGATTGGCAGAATGGACAACCGTGGGCGACCGGCCCCACAGTCCGCCCCGCCGCCCCGCCGCCCCGCCTCCCCGCCTGTCAGTGGCCGGAGTGCCCGGTCCAGGACCGCCACCAGAGGGCAGGGCCGCCCCCCCTCCCCTCCCCGCAGCCCGCCCGCCCCGCCTCTGATTCCAGACACCCTCTTCTGGGGCCACCCACACACCCACCTTAACCACATCATTGTGTTCCCAAGCGTTTGACAGGGGCTTCCAGGAGCACCGTTATCTCTCTGAACCTCACAACAACCCGCTTTTCAGAGAGAAGTCTGGGTGATGTGGGTCTCACACGCTGTCCGCCGCCCTGCAACAAAACGTGCTGACTTTTAGCATAACTCCTTACTCAGGTGTCCCTCCAGCCCACCGCCTCCTTCCCCACATTTCATAGGAGCCTCCAAGGACATCCCACTGGCCCCTCGGGAGTCAATGAGACTCCAAGGGTCCTCCTGCCTCCCAGGCTTCACACCAGCCTCTTTTCTCTTTCTCCATCCCCCGCCCCAGGACAGCAGTCTCCATCCTTCTCCCTTGCGGTCCTCCAGCCCGAGTCCAGGTCCTTGGTCCCCCCAGGATTGCTGCAGGAACTCCCTTCTCCCTCCAGTCTGCTCCCACAGCCCAGTTTTCCTGAACCCCCAATGCAGCCATTCTGCTCGAAACCTTCTGTAGGTCCTTCCTTCTGAAAAAGAACACAAGTCTAACCTGATGTTGGACCTCACTGGCTCCCACTTGCCTTCCTGGGCCCCTCACTAAATCCTGTCACCCTCAATACCCTTCCACTCAGATGTCCCCCAGGCCCCTCTCATCTGATTGCAGGATGTCTATAGGGAAGGAGGGAACTGTCGGCAGGGAGGAACCATGAATGCTGGGATCCCAGCCTCCTCCTGCTCCCACAAACTGGACACGTGTAAACCCAGCAGGGAGCACCTTCCCTGCTCACTCCCTCCTCTGACCAGCTCCTGAGCTGGCAGTTATTTCAGCTAAAGAGTGTAACATCAAGAACTTGCAAGGGGACCTAGAAATGTGGGCCTCACAGGCTAACACGCTAGCTCCTGGGCCTCCTCTCAGGGTCTGATTCACTTGGTCTGGGCGAGGTCAGGGATACCCTCCTGAGAGCCCCAAACCCCAGAATCACACACTTTGAGAAGCACTGGGAGGGGTTAAGGACAAAGCCCCGGACCCAGAAAGGGTGCCGTTGAGCTGTGGGAACGGAAAGAGACTCAGCCCTCTGTTCCGTAGAATGTACTAACCACTGTTATCACTACTGTGAGCATGCAGTTGAGATGGAGTGTGAAGATTATTAGCACGGGGCTGGCATGTGGTCAGCACTCAAGAAAGTTGGGTGGGATTATCTCCATTTAGTGACAACTGGAAACAAAGACCTTCTTCCCCCAGATTTTCTCTGGCCTGCCCTCCAGCCCCATGAGACTGGCCTTGGAAACTGGGAGTTAGGCCCTCTCAGAGCCTCAGTCAGCCTGCCTTCCCAGGAACTGCACATATAAACATAGCTCTAGGCACAGGGAGGTTTCAGGCATGCCAGGACAGATGGTCTCCAATTCCTGGGAGTAAAGAATTCTGGGGTTTACCAGAGAGTTAACTACCAAGCCCCAGATGAGGGAGTCCAGTGTACCCTTTAAGACCAGGGCTGCAAAAATTTATAACAATAAAAGCATAACATGCTAATTAGACCAGACAGCCAAATGACCTTCCAAATGATGTCATTCCAGAGTCCTTCTGGATGAGGCTGCTGCGGCGGGGGCCAAGGCAGAGGTAGTTAGGGAAGATCAGGCAGGCAGGCAGAGAAGTTAGAGGCGATCAGATAGGCAGGCAGAGAAGTTAGGGGCGATTGGATAGGCAGGCAGAGTGGTTAGGGGCAATCAGGTAGGCAGGCAAGCAGTTAGGAGCCAGCAGTCCCAGATTGTGAGAGGATGCAGGCTGGGCTGAGGGATCCCTCCCCCCCCCCCCCACTGTCCTTCCCTCTGCCCCCCGTGTGCACGGATTTCATACACCTGGTCTCTAGTGAATAAGTAAAATAAAATAAGTCTAGGGCTGCTATCCTATTAAATGAGCAATGAGGGGCAAGGCAGCATGGCTGGGAAACATGGGGTCACAGACAACACTTAGCATGTGATTAGTGTTGTCGACCCCGCCCCCATCGCTGGAGCACACACACCCACGCTCACACACCACTTTGACTACTTTGCACTAACTCTGAGTGTCCTGAAGCTTATTGTAGACCCTTTGGAAGTGCTCAGAGCCCAGGAAATGATGGAGACAGCCCTCCTCTCTACCTCACAGAAGCAGAAGGCTCCCACTGGTCGGGAATTCCTACAGCTGGCTGCATCCCTCACAGCATCAGCAGCCATTAAAGACCACGTGGAGCTAAAGGGGGCCCCCTAAAGGGGAAGCCCCGGGGCCATTCATGGTTGTAGCACTGTCCAGAGGGCCCTGTGTGCTCTGGCCCCTGGGCCCAAGCTCAAGACCACCATAGCAGCATGTCCCATCAGAACCCGCTGACACCTACTCTGTCCTCAGGTGGCTTCCCCAGGGCCACACCCATGGGGGGGTGGGAAGAAACACTCACAGGGCAGGGGCCTGGAGTAAACACATCCCAGGTTTTCTGGGTGGATACCTCAATCTCCTGGGCTGGTGGGCATCTATTCAGACTAAGGGCCAGCTCCCCATGCAGCAAATCTGCCACAGGAGGGCTGCTGGGACCTTCTGGAGCAGTTTGGGGTACCTCCCAGGTGCCAGAGCAGACTGCACTAGCCCGACAGCTTCTCCTCACCCTGCTGACTCCTGTGCTCCCCAGGGAGCAGTGTTGGTACCCAATTTGGGCTGGAATATTTGGTAAAAGAGTTCCCTAGTTGGGGCTTCGTGCCCTTCAAGGGATCTCAGTTTGGGGGTGCAGCTGAGATGAGTTCCCAGAGATGGAAGTTTTATTATTTTCATTCTTGGAAGACAGAGACATGGATTTGATCTTCCACTTATTTATGAATTCATCGGTTGTGTTTTACATGTGCCCTGACCAGATTAAGCCCTTAACCTTGACGTATTGGGATGACACTCTAACTAACTGAGCCACCAGGCCCAGGCTGGATAGTTTTCATATAAACGAGAATAGGTGCAAGTCTCAGAAACTTGGTACATTTCTGAACAAAAGAAGTGATTGTTAATCTTTTTCTTCAAGGCAGTGAGACAAAAATAACCTAAAGGTTTCTCTATCTCCTGGGAAGAGGGGGTTTAGAGAGAGAATCTGAAGGCTATGATTGGTGGTCAGGCCCATTTGTATACAGATGCCGGCAGTCCTTGTTCTCCTGTGGGTGATCTCATTAGGTTCATGCCTTCCGGCAACTCCTGTTCCCAGAAAGCTTCCTTCACATGACGTGCCACTATACTTCACATTTATACTTTGGTATTACACTCTTTCATAAATGACTTGCTCTTTCATAAATGACATGTAAATAGTTTTCCACTCCTCTCCCTCTCCAGTGCCTATGGGTTCTCTCTCTCTCATTTTTTGGTCCAGTACATTTTGTTTCTGTATATGACTCTGTTTTTTGAATCCACATCTCTCCTCCATAGTACTTTTTAAATAAATGTTTACATTAGAAAAAAACAAAACTCTTGAGTCTGTTTGGGTGGAGGCGTCATAAACAACATTGGGATGAGCAGCTTGAACTGAGCAGGCCTTTATTAGGCCAAGACCGTTCTGTGGGGCCCAACCTCAAAGGGCCCCACCCTGCTCCAGGCCGCTCTTTCTTCTGAGCAGGGAGGGAGCAGAGGCCTCCTCTGTGGTGAGGGAGAGCGTCTGCAGCCAGAGTGAGGATAGGTAGTGTGACTTTCCCCTCTCCCACCTCAGCTTCCTCATCTGTAGCCCCGGGTCCTGTATCCTCCTCACAGCCTCGATAAGAAGGGAACCAGCTGAGGTTGGTCCAGTGGTGGGCCCTGGATCAGTGTGTAGCCCTAGGCCCAGCCTCTCTAAGGGCGTCAGATTCTGATGTTGACAGCGGTTTTCCCTCGTGGGTAGACTAGAGTGGGGAGAGGGAAGGTAAATGCTTTTTGTTTTCAGTTAAAATTATTTTCAACAGTCAACATGTGTTCCTTCTGTAATAATTTCTTCATTGTTCATAGTTTCTTCATTTTAAAAGGCAGTTTCTTGTTTAATTCCGGTGGCTTGTCCCTTTCTTCAGATCATCCACACAGTCAGGCTTTGTCTGGGCAGAACCCTTCCGAGGGAGGCGTGGGAAAACTTGGACACAGAGGTGTGTCACTGTCACCTCCAGCCAGCCACATGCCCTTGTGCACCCAAGGCCCCCTCCATATGGCTGCCATTTTTTTTTTTTAATATCAGCTCCAACATCTAGGAAACCTGATTTTTTTTTTAATATACTTTATTGATTTTTCTCAGAGAGGAAGGGAGAGAGAGAGAGTTAGAAACATCGATGAGAGAGAAACATCGATCAGCTGCCTCCTGCACACTCCCCACTGGGGATGTGTCTGCAACCAAGGTACATGCCCTTGACCGGAATCGAACCTGGGACCCCTCTGTCCACAGGCCAACCATCTATTAACTGAGCCAAACCGGTTTCGGCATGGCTCCAATTTTTGTTACCTGATTATTATACTCTGTGCTGTGTCACCCCTACCACACACCTAGGACCCCCAAGCTCAGTGTGAGGAGGGAAGGGCTGCACAAAACCTACTTCCCTCCCAGATCCTGGCTGCCAGGCCCAGCATGGATACTTCCTGGTTGAGACTTCTGGCCAGGAAGTTGGGCCCAGATTACGTTCCCTGTGTGACCCCTATGGGGGGCAGTACTCCACTCCCAACAGTGCGGGTCTGTGGGCACTAACGAGACCTCAATATTATTTCAGTTCACCCCAAGGAGGGCATCCTCCT